CCCCAAAACCCCAAAACCCCAAAACCCCAAAACCCCATTTTTAAATATAATAATTGAACTTAGACAACCAAGATGAGTTCCCACAAGCTATCTTTAGCTTCATTTCAAGGTAATTTTCATACATTACTGGCTAAGATTGTACCTAGGGGCTTTGGATATCATAGAGTTATTTAGACAGATTCAGGAATAGTAGAATTAGACAATACTTTTCTCAGCAGTGAGTAAAGTATCCTTCTACAATAAAACCGATTATTCAGAATCAGAATTCAAACGGAGATTTGGAATTAGTCTTAAGCTCAAGCCAAAGCTACAAGTTTGTGATTATATAAGTATTTTATAGGTCAAATCTTTCTTCGCTCAGATGAATCAATGAAAGGCCTAAAGTAATTCAACCCCTTACCAAGAACAACCCAAGGCTAACCAGGATGTCTTCAGTGCAAGCTTCAATTTCAAAGACTCCTGAATCTTTGGCAAAATAATTTAAAAGTGCATCCTCAATATAATATCTTAAAATTCTCGATTGGAAAAGTCAGGTAAGCTTTGATCTACTTAATCTGTTAATCTCCTGTAGCAAAAAGGTAAAACAAAATTATTTCAAGAGATAACACTGATAGAACATGTGATATTTCCCGATGCTTAATAAATAATCTGTCACCAAAAGCAGTGCTCTCTGCTGCAGGAGAGTTCATGGCGGTCAAGCCAGGTATCGACCATGAGAAGGACCCTAGAGATAGCAGAAAGAAATCAGAGCATAGCCTAAAAGTTATGAGGAAACTTCACAGATCTTTGACTAAGTAGGAAGTAGACTTATCTTTAGAGAGAATCCAGACCTCACATCGCTTAAATAAGAGCCAGGCTGGAAATAATCTTAAGAAAAGAGTATGTTTTAAGAGAGAAAAGCCTAGAAACAGGTTCTCAAGTAGGTGTTTACTTGAATTTCTAGATATTTTTAAAAACCAGAAACTGCAGACTAATGAAGAAAACTTTATTTCAAGCTTTTATCAGGTATATAAACAAGTAAATATATAGAATGAGGCTAAATCTTCCATCGAATCAGCTCTTTTTGACCCAGAAATTAAATTTTCGATTAAGAAAAAGAAAAAGTATCCTAAAATAGACAAAATTAGGGAAAAGATTAACCTCAGCATAGTAACATCAAGTGACACTAAAAGAAGAGAGCCTGTTTTGAACCTCCCACCAAACGCTTGAAATCAGAAAGAAGGATGTTATGCTTCACAAATAAATATTGTGACAAATGATCCTGTCAGAAAGTTTTCACGTCCAGACTTTACCTGGAAGGATTTTTCACCAACGACCTAAGCTAAGTAAGTTGATCATATAACTACACTTATGAGTCATACCTGAATTGTAGAGTTTTTAAGATGTATTATTTCCTACCTAAAGAAAGGCCTTTACTTGGTTTTAAACCCTTTAAATGTTAGCTATCGTATTTAAACCAGAAAACTCTTTGTCTGATATGATGAGAACCAGAACAGGAGAAGAAATAGCTCAATTTAAGTGGTTTATTAGACTTAGTAGCTTTGAGAGTGCCAATAATATGTGGTTTGAGTGCTGATTAAGAAAAATAAACCTGCTTTCTAAATTGAGCTGAAATAGTCGCATTGGACACCCATTCTAGCATTTGGATAATTATATTAGTTATCGATTAGTGAATGCAGGTTTTGGTTCTATACCATTCCACAGAATTTAGACTTCTTTGTTCTAGTTGGAGAAGAATTAAAGAAAAATATACTAAATTTAGATTATGAAGAGTTGCATTATAATCAGGATTTAGAGATAATTAATCGAAGGTGTCTCGGAAAGTATGATCTTTAAGTGTATATTTAAATTCTTTTCCATCAAAATCTTGCATCCCAAACCACACCAAATTTGCATTTTCTTCATCAAAACATCACCTAAACCTTCAATAAAACGACACAACACTAAAACCAAAGCTAAAAATCAATCCCTTCACAATTTCCTCTCAAAAAGCCCTCCTAAACCCCACCTCCCCAACCCACTCTTTCAAATTTAGTAAACCCCAAGCGAAACAAGACATTCAAAATCCTTAAAAATTTCATGAGTCAACCTAAACAGCCAAGTACTTAAAACCCCTTAATTCTAGCCTCTTGCCTGAACCAGAAGAGTTTCAAATAAGCCAACTCTAAGAGCTAAGGGGCTTAGGATGGTCCCAGATGCTCAAGGGGCAGGGAACAACCAATCTGTGAAGCATTCAGAACAGAAGGATGTTAATGTAGGGATATTAAAATCACAAAGAGAGTCAGCTGCTAGTTTCATCAATCATTTATAATCCTAATTCTTGTTTTCTTTCTCTTGCAGGAATTAATCCTAAATTTTTGACTGGAGGTGATGCTGAGGATAGTTTCCAAATATTTTGAGAGGAAAATAACAAAGACATTTGAAGTATTGTATGCTCCAGAGAGCAGAGCTTAAGGAAAGGAGTCTGCTACTGATAAGGTGCAGCTTTAATTACTATTTTAGGCAATAAAAATGTATATGCTATTTGTATTAGGAAAATATAAGAGAGACTCGAAAGTTATTTTAGAGTCAATATTGATGGTAGATAGTGCAATGGGAGTGATGAAGCAGAGTAAAGAGGCTTGGAGTTGGTTAACGGAGAGGATTTTAAGTGAATTTATGAGATTTTCTAGCTCAGAAAGCTTTGTTAATTGTTTTTAGATTTAGATCTAAGCTCATCTCTTAAAGAGAGATATAGCTAATTTTCTTAAATTTAGTATAAATGAAAGGCCCCAAGGTGTGGATCAGATGACACTCTGCTTTTAAAACCTCAAAATACAGCCCAACATGTAAAGCAGAATAAACTATAAATTTATTCAACTATCATAGGATTCAAAGGGGTTTTGGGGTTTTGGGGTTTTGGGGTTTTGGGGTTTTGGGGTTTTGGGG